AGCTTGCCACCTAGTGGTGCATTAAGGCGTCTTGCTGCCGGACAATCTTAGGCTCTCCCGGCTATAATGTAATGTAATGTAATGTAATGTAATGTAATGTAATGTAATGTAATGTAATGTAATGTAATGTAATGTAATGTAATGTAATGTAATGTAATGTAATGTAATATAATATATTATATTATAATATAATATAATATATTATAATATAATATATACTATACTATATACTATACTATAATATACTATAAATATAATAATTTTCGTAAATGGCTCTCCAGAGTCTCAGTTCGAGATCTTCCACATCAACTGTTGGTCCTTCTCGCTGGAGATGCAGGCGACTGAGCCTTCGGCGTGTGAAGTGGGTGATCTACCATTAATCTGCGGCCCCACCCCAGGGCAGAACACAGGAGTCCTTGGAGTTAGGAAACTGGTGCTCTCGGCTAAGCCAGTATATCAAGACAGGATCTTTGACAGCCCCCGTAGATTCCTGAGGCCCGATGCTCTGTGTTCCTTATAGGGGTGCAGAACTGCACTCAGTCGAATCAGTGGGTTGTGTGTGCATGAATACAGACATGAAGCTGCCTTAACACCGATTCAGAGCCTCGGTCCATCAAAGTATGGTCTACTCAAACCGACAGTTCTCCAGGGTCTTGGGCAGAGGTCTTTTGCATCACTTGCTACCTGGTCCTTTTTAAACTGGAGGTGCCGGGGATCGAACCTGCGACCTCTTGCGCGCAAAGCAGAGGCGCTGCCACCGAGCCACCCCTCCCCCTCCTGCCAGGCTTGTTTTAACACACACGGCCTGCAACTCTTAATATTTTGCCTTCATATACGCAGGCTCCCAGAAAAGTCGGCATCGATAACCAGGCCATGGAGCCTTGAAGCGCCACCGGGACGGACCACGAAAGTGACAGGAAAGAAGACGCGGCTGATCGTCGGGGTACTGCATCAGAACTGTTTCTAAGCTGGATTTCATCTCTCTGGCACGCGTGTGACTTGTGGGCCTTTGGCGCCCAGGGGCTCACCCTCTGATTGTGCGGCAGTCCTTAACCTGTGCCCGTTCTTTCTTGGTCACATTAAACTCAGGGAGAAATGGAGGAAATGTTCTCCGGAGAGCTTTCCTGTGTGGCACCAGACAGGTCGTTGGCTGCTGAGGGTGGTGAAGCTACATGCCTGTGTCCCGCTCAACACCAACAACTAGCTATAGCCCGTGTCTGTCGTTCTGAAGGAACGGGCAGCCCGCTGAGGCTAAAGCCAGACTATAAAATTCTTCTATGGAAAAAGGAGATTGTGTCTCCTGCAGTGCCGCTACTGTAAATAGGATCACACTATTCTTGCTTGTGTACACATTTTGTGCCACATGAGAGACAGTTTGGTGTAGTGGTTAAGTGCGTGGACTCTAATCTGGGAGAACCGGGTTTGATTCCCCACTCCTCCGCTTGCAGCTGCTGGATGACCTTGGGTCAGTCATAAATTCTTTCAGAGCTGTTCTCTCAAGGACAGTTCTGGAAAGAGCTCTCTCAGCCCTGCCTACCTCACAGGGTGTCTGTTGTGGGGAAGGGAAAGGAGTTTGTAAACTGCTCTGAGACTGCGAGTGAAGGGTGGGGTATAAATCCAATCTCTTTTTCTCTTCTTCTTCTAATACACATCAGCCTTTTTGGGGCCAACAGTTAATACCACGTTTCCTTCTTCCGTAACCATGAAACTATGTTCAAACCAGCCACTGGATGCGCACGATGAAGCGGGCTGCAGTCCGCGAAAGCTTATGCCTCAATAAACGTGCACATCTTTTCAAGGTGCCACCCAAACTGCTCTGGATTGGCTGTACAAAAATGTACCCTCTGTAACTGTGAAGTCGCCTCCTTTCTTAGACATTATTACTATTTATCTTGAGGTCCTGGTAAAAAAGTTGGCATGGTTATCGTTTAAACTAAGCCTTTGACTGCTCAGTAGAGGCACTGCGTAAATAATAATAATAGCAGATGGATCAGCTCCCATATACGGACCTGGTCTTTTCCAAATGGTGTCTGTATCCAGGGGTCATTTCCTGCAGGAGCGGAGCTCCGGCAGTAAAGAGCTCAGGGGGCGGGCACATGCAACAAGCCCCGCCCCCTGCTCTCAGCAGCTCTCAGTCAGAGCAAGAAGCAGCCAGGTAAGCTGCAGAGCTCCCCCCCTGGCCCAAAACAGTCCAGTGGCACCTTTAAGACCAAGTTTTATTCAGGTCCAAGCTCTCCCTCCTCTGCGAGGACAGATCTCCACGTTCCCCCCCCAATAGCTAGCAATCCAAAACAGTCCAGTGGAGCCTGAGGGGTGGGTGTTGCCTTCTGACACACTTCCGGTGATGCTGGGGGGTGTGGCATATGCAAATAAGTTATGCTAATGAGCTCCTGCACCTCTTTTTCTACGAAATGACCCGTCTGTATCAGAGTTTTATCACAACTTTCCTTGAAGATGCTTAGGGTGGGGAGACGTGGTTTTCTTCCTTCCTCTGTGTTCTCTCCCTGCACGTAGCGCCACTGTGGGGTGATTGGGCCCACAGTCACCCACGAAGTTTCACAGCAGCACAGGGACTTGAACCCAAGTCTCTCGGGCCCTATGCTGACAGTCTAAGCCACGCTGGCTCATTTTGAGTGAACGGTTTTGTTCCGGCACAGAGAGATCCATTCTGTCTCCCACATTCGCACAGTAGCCAGGACACAGTTTGAGTCCAGGGGCACCTTTTAAGACCAACAAGGTTCTAGTCGAAGTGTCAGCTTTTGCGTGCAAAGCACACTTCTTCAGATAAACTGGAATAAAATCTCCTCAAGAGCTACTTACAGGGGGAAAAGAGGGTGAGGGTTGGCTGTTAGGAGGGGCCACTCAGAGCCAAGATGCATCTGCAGAGCTGAAATTGGATCAGGTGGCCGGGAAGATCAATGGATAGCAGCAAATTGGCACGTAAACGCGAGAGTTAACAATGATGTGAGAATGAAGCTAGAGAGTTAACAATGATGTGAGAATGAAGCTAGAGTACCTCCAAGCGGCACCTCCAAGACAAACCAAGCTTAACCCTGTGTACACGCGAGAACAGAGAATCAGCATGTGCACACTTCTTCACATACATTGGAACGGGTTTCCTCAAATATGACATGCGGGGGGGGGGGGTTAGTTGCCAGGAGGAGCTGATTAGAGCCAAAATGCATAGGTAACCGAGCAATACATATAGCTGAGATTGGAATAACACCTATAGGAGGACATGTAGATATCAGCAAGTTGGCATTCAGCTAATAAAGGAGTTAACAGCAAATTGAGAAGTTTGAGTCCAGTGGCCTCTATAAGACCAACAAAGTTTAATTGCTGGGTATAAGTAGGAACAGAATGACTTTGCGTGTGTCGTGAGATAAGAAGCCGATATCTCTGTTAAGCCCTGGGGGTTCCATTGCCCTGAGGGCTGTAATAACTTGTAATTCAGCAATCTCCCATTCCAGTCTGTTTCTGAAATTCCTCTGCAATAAAAACAGCTACTTTGAGATCCCCCACTGAGTAGCCAGGAGGCTCTCGACAGAGGCCCGAGCGCAAAGACTTCCCACCACAAGTCAAGAGTGTTCAGGGACCTTTATTTCACAGCAACCAATTAGTTCCGGGAATGACTCACACAAGGTTTTAGCAGCAAATAGACCGTCCCGCCACCTGCACAACGCTGGTCCGGGTGAAGGTTACGCTTGGTGTTGCCTGGCGGTGGGACAGATAAAAGACGGCTTCGTGGAAGACCAGACCAAAGGTAGAGAGCCCCTAGTGAACTCTGGGCTACCGTGGAAAGAAACAGGGCCGTGTGGCTCCAAGTCACGGAGGGGGCATGGGAGAGATGAAGAGGCACACCTTTGTGTAAGGGGATGGGGGATGCAAGGGAGAGTGAACCCCAAATCTATTACAAAGAGCGGCCCTTGCGAGAGCCGCCCAACCCGGCTGGCCCTTCTGGGAGACCACGCCCCCTTCTGGGCTCCTCCCAGTATTGCTCAACGTCACACCTTTCCTCTAGAGGAGTGGGACGGGACAAGAGCTCCCGGGCTTCTCTCTGCCCCCAGTCTCGATGCGTGCGGAAACAACGGACGGGTGTGATTCTAAAGTGCTAATAAATGAGGACACTCTACCCACCAAGCTGCCAACGCCGGCCCCGCAAGCCACCGTGGAGAGCTGGGATCTGACAAACTCTTCCTATGCACCGCTTGCACTGGGGTTTTCCTCCCTGGAGGGGAGGGGCTGAAACGTCAAAAGGAGGGGGTGGGGCCCGCCGCCCTTCGAGGCGTGATCAGTACAGCTTGTAGTTCCAGTAGCCAGAGAACACAGCGATCTGGAAAAGAAGAAAACAGGGAAGCCATCCGGAAGTCGGGTTGTGCCCATCCCCGCTGTTCGGAAACTTGGGGGATCGTTCACTCCGGCCACCTGTACGCGGGCCGGAAGCCCCAGGGAGTGACGACTGCACGTTCTCTGTCTTTGCATGCCTATGTGCAAACTGCAGCCTCGGACATCTGCCCGAGGTACAGACCATTAAGTAGCGGACACCTCTAGACGGAAACAGAGAGAGAGCTATCCAGGGTCTCTTGTGTGCTAAATATGCTTCATGTGTGTCGGGGGAGAGAGCCCTTCTGCCTTTTCTATTGTAATGCATCGCGCATTCCCAAAACGTTGAACGTTTCTCTAAATCCCTAAAAGTGCAATGAACAAGTAGGTGCGGAGGAGAGCGAGGAGGACGGTGGGCAGCCTGGAGGCCAAGAAGCCCTGTGAGGAAAGGCCGAGGGACCTGAGAATGTTCTGTCTGGAGAAGAGGAGGCGGAGGGGGGACAGGATGGCTCTCTTGAAGTACTTGAAGGGCTGTTCCTTAGAGGAGGGCACAGAGCTGTTCCTGTGGGCAGCAGTGGAGAGGACTAGTGATCGTGGGTTGAAATTAAGGCAGGGAAGGTACCGGCCAGATCTTAGGGGAAGCTTTTTGACAGGAAGAGTTGTGCCGCAGTGGGATCGGCTGCCTCGGGAGGTGGTGAGCTCCCCCTCCCTGGCAGTCTTCAAGCAGCGGCTGGACAGACCCTTGTCAGGGATGCTCTAGGCTGATCCTGCACTGAGCAGGGGGGGTTGGACTAGAGGGCCGGTATGGCCCCTCCCAACTTTGGGATTCCAAAGTGTGGCCATGAAGAAGTCATCCCTGGTTCAAATTTCACCTGCATCACACGGACTCATGAAGCAGGCTGAGGTAAGCAGCTGGCAGTCTGGATTTCACTTAAGACGGGACTTTGTTGGAGATCTCTAAAACACTGTTGCCTGGTGCTTGGGGGGCAACAGTGGGAAGGCTCCTGGAGTTCTGGCCCCGCTGGTGGACGTCCTGAGGGCCCCTGAGTTTTGGCCACTGTGTGACACAGAGTGTTGGACTGGATGGGCCACTGGCCTGATCCAACATGGCTTCTCTTATAGTCTTTGGGGCAGGGATGCTCTGTCTTCTTGGCACTTGGGGGGCAACAGTGGGAGGGCTTCTGGAGTTCTGGCCCTGCTAGTGGACCTCCTGAGGGCCCCTGGGCCACTGTGTGAGACAGAGCGTTGGACTGGATGGGCCACTGGCCTGATCCAACATGGCTTCTCTTATGTTCTTATGTCTGGGGCAGAGATGCTCTGTCTTCTTGGTGCTTGGGGGCCCACAGTGGGAGGGCTTCTGGAGTTCTGGCCCTGCTGGTGGGCCTCCTGAGGGCCCCTGGGTTTTGGCCCCTGTGTGAGACAGAGCGTTGGACTGGATGGGCCACTGGCCTGATCCAACATGGCTTCTCTTATGTTCTTATGTCTGGGGCAGAGATGCTCTGTCTTCTTGGTGCTTGGGGGGCAACAGTGGGAGGGCTTCAGGAGTTCTGGCCCTGCTGGTGGACCTCCTGAGGGCCCCTGGGCTTTGGCCCCTATGTGACACAGAGTGTTGGACTGGACGGGCCACTGGCCTGATCCAACATGGCTTCTCTTATGTTCTTATGTCTGGTGCAGTGATGCTCTGTCTTCTTGGCACTTGGGGGGCAACAGTGGGAGGGCTTCTGGAGTTCTGGCCCTGCTAGTGGACCTCCTGAGGGCCCCTGGGTTTTGGCCACTGTGTGAGACAGAGCGTTGGACTGGATGGGCCACTGGCCTGATCCAACATGGCTTCTCTTATGTTCTTATGTCTGGGGCAGAGATGCTCTGTCTTCTTGGTGCTTGGGGGCCCACAGTGGGAGGGCTTCTGGAGTTCTGGCCCTGCTGGTGGACCTCCCGAGGGCCCCTGGGTTTTGGCCCCTGTGTGAGACAGAGCGTTGGACTGGATGGGCCACTGGCCTGATACAACATGGCTTCTTTTATGTTCTTATGTCTGGGGCAGTGATGCTCTGTCTTCTTGGTGCTTGGGGGGCCACAGTGGGAGGGCTTCAGGAGTTCTGGCCCTGCTGGTGGACCTCCTGAGGGCCCCTGGGCTTTGGCCCCTGTGTGACACAGAGTGTTGGACTGGACGGGCCCCTGGACTGA